TGTTTTATTTCTAGTGGTGAGTTGGTTCGCATGAGTTCCATGGATACAATTTTAGGGCATGAAATGCTTTAGTGCGAGTTTTGTATGTAAGTTTTTTATGCATCGGTATTTGGTTTACCGACGGGTGTTTCATAACAAAAAACAAAATGGAGGCGGAATTCCATTAAAAAGCTTGTAGGTAATTCTATTGTCTGAGAAAGAAATGAAATTGTTTTGACCAAAATATATATACATACATATAGAAAGACTGTCTAGAGCACGAAGGCTAAGAGTCGAATTTTACGAGGTTTTTGACCCAAGTAACTTGAATATATAACTAAAATAGAAACAAATGATAACATGGCTATGAAGACGACTGTGTGTGCTCCAAGATAACCTCGAATATTTGGGCATGATTCTACATAATTTTTAGAATGTTTTAGAGAAAACACCACGGTTCATAATATATATTCAAATCTTGGAATAAAAAGTAGTTTATTCTTCTTTATTTTAGTGGATTTACACAAACCACCTTAGTAAGTTTTATAACTTTAAGGGATCACATCAGCAATGAGGTGATCCGGAAGAAAACCAAGGTCATAGCCCACCAGATCAGCAAGCTGAAGTGACAATGGGCTGGCCATATTAGCCGCAAAACCGACAACTGTTGGGGTAAACGAGTTCTTGAGTGGAGACCGCGTCTCAGCAAACGTAGTGTCGGACGCCCACAGGCCAGGTGGAGTGACGATTTGCGCAAGATGGCTGGCAGGAGCTGGATGCGAGAAGCCGAAAATCGATCGAAGAGGCGTGCTATAGGAGAGACCTATGTCCAGCAGTGGACTGATATAAGATGATGATTATGACCATAGTTAGTAGGACCTTTGGATGGTCGGCTCCTTGGGGCGCAGGCGCCAGGGGTATGTATGGGTGTTTCGACTAGAAAACTCCCCGACGGTGGTCTCAGACGCCCTAAACTGGAGAGGACATGGACCATGAGATTTCAGGTTCCCAAACCAAGTGTCTATAGAAAAGCGAGAAATAAGTTCTTCAAAAAATAAAAATGTGTTCAAATCTGAATAACTACAGATTAAAAACAATGTACTAAGGCCCAGTCTAACCTCCCAATCATAACGTGGGGCAGAGATAATATGACTCTTTTACCGAAAAAAAACTAACGATTTCACAATTTTTTTGTTCTTTTATAATAATCCATTGTTTATGGACGTTCTGACACAAAAATTAGTAGTGGGTGTTCTTGTTTGATTGAAACTAAGAACACCCACACACAAGTAAAAAGGCCCAGTCAGATCTCCCTATCATAATGGCCCTCTTACCGATAAAAACCTTACGATTTCACAATTTTTCTTTGTTTATTTATAATAATTTATTGTTTAGAGCTGTTCTGACACAACGATTAGTAGTGGATGTTGTTGTCTGATAGAAAACAAAAAAAATTAGCTTAGTCAGACCTCCTAATCATAACGTGGGGCGGATATGGCCCTTTTACCGATAAAACTTATATATTTCATTGTTTTTCGTTTTCAATAATTAATGGTCTAGGGTTGTTTTGGCACAACGATTAGTATTTTATAATGTTTTTTTGTTACGTTAAGGAGAAAATAATTGATTTTTTTACTTTTATTTGTTTCAATAAAAATATGTTTGGTGATCGTCCATATACAACATCGGCTAAGTCCGGATGGAAGCGTAGTGAGTTACCTTCCTAATTCAAGATCGCTGTTTGCCCATATACTTTTATTAGAAAAAAAGTGTTTAAAGACATTTTTTTCTGTGAAAAAAAGTGTTTAAAACTTGGGGCACACTGCCGCTTTCGATTCTTTAGTTTACGAGTATGTTTCATATCTAGTTGCGTTTTTCACTTAATCCACACGTTTCACCAAGTACAACTATGTAAGCTCTTAAGTTCAAACAGGTAAACGTTAAATTGTATTTTGAATGAAACTTTTATGCAAGACGTGTAATTAAAAAAAATGTGTCCTGTAATTATGAACTAGCTATTAATAACTACTTCATCGAACCAGTAATAATTAAGAGATTCTTGTTTTGAGCAAGTACCGACACATAATTTGCATTACCAGTATAGTGTCATGTTTTTCTTTAATACAGATTTTTATAAAGGTACACAAATTGAGTTGTAATGTAGTGTAAAGCTATTAATATTAGTTCAATGGGTACATCACATACCTACTAGACAGTCATCTAGGGTGATTTCTCCTTCTTTAAATCAAGGTGCTCGCTTAAAGTTCAAAAATAATTTTATTCGTATTTGGTAACATTTATTTAATTGACTACAATCTTATTTAGTGATGAAGTAGGTCGTCCTTGAGGAATTATTCACAGGCTGTGGAACAACGAAGAGAGGGATAGCGAGAGATGCCAGCGATAAAAGTAACAGGGGTTACAATGTTTATTTGTTTGATCGCTTACTTATCTTATCTGGGTCTCCCTGGTACGCGTAACCAATAAAAGTGTTGGCGTTGGCGCCGCTTTGTACAAACTGAACTGTCCTTCAACTTACATTAAGTTCATTCCACATCACTTTGCACCTGAGTGGACTGATAGGTATTATTCACTTAAACAGCTCATTTGTAATTCAAATGTTTTTAGTGTATGCTCCAGTAATTCCATTAAAATTATTACCTAGGTTGGGGTTAAAAAACATTGTATGTGGTAGTCTGTTTATTAATAGCTCATTTTTATTTTTAGCAACTATGCGACTAACTTATACATACAATAATGTGCACCGAAGAGGTGTAAAGGTATAAAGTACTTGTTTCTACGTAGGCAGGTACAGAACCCAAATACGTAAGGGAGAATTATTAAGCCTTGTAAGTATTTATATCTAAGATCGAGTCAATTTCACCATATACCTGTTTACGTTTGTCCAACTGACGACCTTTAAAAATGATCATGCATAAAGAAAAATTAAATGCAAAAATTGAATAATGTTTGCACGAATTCTGATAGTAAAAGAGGAGCTATTCCTAAGCTTGCCTGCTGAGTTAACTGCCGAGTTATCAACAATAAAATAAAAAAAACATACGGGCTCCCATGCAAGTTTCATTGTTTTGTCGACATCTGTTTCGGTGTGCTGTATCTTGTTGTTGTTGCCACTCTATCCAAAAATAAATAAAAATAAATGCTTTTTCCCTTTTTACACCGTGAATTTTTAGCGTCCTCAAGTCGCCATACCCATGATAGGTAAGCGTCGAAACTAAAGGAGCAAACTACGCTGGACAACAGCACTGCATAAAGAAGGAAAACTTGAAACAAACCCTATATCAACCCGCCTGAGCACCGCGCTATTGTGGGCCAAAACCTATGTCCAGCAGTGGACTGTTAAAGGCTGTTTTTGATGATAATTATGTTAACAGCTATTCGCCCGGTTTCTTCTAACCTTATCTAAAATACTATTGTGTAGAAAGTCATCCAGTCTAAGAATATCACACTTTAGATTTGCATTGAAAACAGTTATAACCAATTCAACGTCCGGTTAATCTATACCTGTTTCGAATGAGACGTTTTAAAACATTGAAAATCTTGAAACAACGAAGCGAGAAACCATTGAATCGATATAAATTTCTAAGTATTTTCTTGTATGTGGGCCAGGTTTGCACACCAAGTTTTTATATTTCACTAGGCAGAGCGCACCATGAAAAACTTCCCCACGACGTCCAATTACTGAGACCATTACCAATTACCAAGCCTCGTACCTATGTAATAGATGTGCTAGACTTTCTAGTATGTTCATGTTAGGTTTAGCCTTGCATTTGGGATCGTCATTACGGATTATGTGCATTAAACGGAGTAAAACTAATAGTTTTACCTCCGAAACTCGCTCGATTTATAAACATACCGTGCCGTAACGTAGCTATCTCGTTTATTCTTGTCGCTCTATTGTTTGAAAATATCTTAATTTATCTTAGATAGCTATGAACTGAACAAACCTTATATTAATTACCATAGTAATACTTAAATAATAGTAATACGCAATGGATAAGAGTGATCTTTAACAATATCGTAAAATTAAACAGCATTAACATAAATCTCTGCTTATTTATACAAATGTTTCAGTTCTTGTGTCCGTAGTCGCACGCAGTTACAACAAGGACATTCATCAATATTGCCATGTAGTAGACAAATCAGATTTTAGGAGTTAATAAAGTAATGATTTATTTTTGTCATATTCATCATTAAGTATGTATCTAATGAATAAAATAAGCTGTAGGTGTATTTTTATGTATACATTGTTGGGTGAGCATTGCGCTAGTAGATTACGTGTACTCTAATATAGTGCCTTATCATTATTTTACACGGAACAATGCTATTGTCGATTATCACAGGTACGTAACGGTGTCGGTCCCGTTAAGTTCCTGCACCAGTTCTGAATTCTTGGGAAATGCGGGGTACTAAACGGTAATAAAAACTCGTACCAGCCACTAGCTGATGCGAATACTTGGAGAGGTATATAATTTCTCAGATTAAGTTGCCACTGAATGCAGTTAGTGAGATGGTCGGCCATTGACGTCTGTGGTGTGTCCGGTGCCCGCGGCTGCATCGTTACGTAACGAGAGACAGTTACGTAAAGTCAATGTCAAGCTCAAGAACACTGCGTCAAGTGTTGTGGCATCGACGTTGAGCTCGCACCGGCGCTGGCGAGGTCGACGACCGCGATACCAAACAACATTCTTAAAGCCAAAACTTGAACTTCAGCAAACATTCATAAATAAAAATATTAACAAATACAACAGAGGGGTGAATGTACTTTTTAGTCGTTGACTAAGTCCTTTTTATTGTACTCTACATGTTTTGACACTTATAAGCGTAGCTCTTCAGAATCCTATGAGTTATCACCTGACAGACATACATAAGGAAGAGTAACTGTATATCCTAGAAAGATTGACTATGATTGTGTTTATGGATGATAGACACATTATCTAAGGTTAACAAAAACAGTTGCTACTGTGTGATATCAAGTTTATGGTTAATTTCTATTTCAGAGTACGCCGCCACCGTTAGTGGACTGGTCATGTGTGCCGACTCTGGTATTGGCCGTAACACTAGTTGTCGTAGTTGCGACAGCGCTGGTGGCACGAACAGCAGAAAACAAACAGTCTACTCGATTACCCGGACCTCAACCTTTGCCGTTTCTGGGTACTAGATGGCTGTTCTGGAGTAGATATAAGATGAATAAGCTTCATGAAGCGTATGAAGGTAAGACTTCATTTTATTTATTTTTCACACTTCCTGCATTACAACTTGCACGAGGCGGACTTAATGCCACATGGCATTATCTACCAGTACCATTTTACGAAGCGCTTATTAGAGAGGTCAACTAAATTAAGAAGAAAACGGATTTGAATTCAACAGATTTTGATTGTTAATTCAATTGGTGATATCTTTGCATGTTGTGAGCAAATTTAAACTATTCATTTTTAATAGGCTGTTTAATAGGCTGAGTGGTTCTATATGTATTTATGAAAAATATGAAAAATAAATAATACTTTAACTTTATACTGGCAGTTGGCAGATTATTTAAAATAAAAAATAAAGAAAATTAAAATAGCAAGATTGAAAGGCACCGATCACACTTAATCTTTAAAGATAATTTGTTTTTAGAATATATATGTATCTGTATTCTATAAGACATAAGCTAATTGGTCATTGCTTGAGATAAATGTAATTAGTTTTATTTGGAGCATTTGAAGATTTATTGCTAGGTTATATATGCAGATTTCGAGAATGTGAGGCAACACAAGATAAACAATGTTGTTCGAATTATAAATGGCCTGTTCACGTACATAAATAATTGTTGATTGTGTTTTGTATGTTAATTTATTTTTTTAGGCAATGCTGCAATGTTCGTTTTTAGACTATATAAGTACGTTTCAGCCTTTGTAACCTGGTTGAAAGGTCAGGCAGTTCAAAGATATGTACCTAATACCTAAGTATTACGCGGTCGCATTAATTCCCACACGAATACCTTACTAACTGTAGTATATAATTGGAATTGGAATTGGAATTCGCATTGGAATGCGAAACTTCATATTTTTTAGATTACTTTTTCTATAAACGCATATTCCAAAAAAATAATTAAATAGGATGGTAGGTTTATCACTTGCTTCCTTATGAGTATTATTCATAACCATGTTTTTTTTTACTATGTTCGCTAACCTCGAAATTACAGCTAAAAATGCCCAAAGTAATATCGTACCTACTGCCTTATTTTATTGAATCATCGAAACTGACTAATTGTAAGTTATCTTTATGATTGGTCGAATTTCGCATGCTTGAAATTCTAGTTTATAGTCACAATGAGAGATTTGCACACAGATATGTTCAGGCGTTACGGGCCCGTATTCGTGGAGACGACACCGAGCGGCGCTTCAATAGTTTCGATTGCCGAAAGGGCAGCACTGGAAGCTGTACTTAGAACACCAGCGAAGAGGCCGTATCGACCCCCCACCGAGATTGTACAAATGTACCGAAGAAGCAAGCCTGAACGATACGCCTCCACGGGACTCGTAAACGAGTTAGTAATGTTCTACATTAATATTAGTAGTCCAACAAATATAACTTTACTCAGAAATTTGTTCTTAGTTGGACAGAGTTAGACAGCAGTCAATAAAAAATTCAATCAAGGTATCAATTAATTAAAAAAATATAATTGAAGATTGACTGTTATGTGAAATCATAATTAAACGGTAATTACATATTTCCATTAAATTATTTACATTTTAATTTTATTAATTAAAATAAATTCATCCCGTGGGTGTCGTAAGAGCCGACTTAGAGAGCAAATTACGCAGAACAACAGCACTGCGGTAGAAGGAAAACTTGACACAAACCCTATACCAACCCGTCTGTCCAGCGTGGTATAGTAGGCCAAAATCTCCTTTCTAAGGAGAGGCCTATGTCCAGCAGTGGACTATTAAAGGCTGTTGATGTGAATTAAAATAATTTATTTAGATCAATAATTACATTTACCATTAATTGGGCCTCAGGCGCGGGCGGTGCCGTATACGATGACATATACAAATCAATATGCACACGTGTACACGTACCTAAGTATTTAACAAAATACTAATTATAAAATAGAATAACATAAAATAGTTACAATTAATAATTAATTAAACGCACGATTAACAATCAACAATTTATTAAATTGTGTAAAATTTAATGATGCCGTGAGTTTGTTTGCTCTTTCTTCTCAGAAGGCTCATCCCCTTGGAAACGGGCGGTTGTAGATCGCCACAGGCATATAATAGATTTTCGATACGTACCTATATATTTATTTTGCTAAGTATTTGACAAGACAGAGATTGATGCTATTGTGTGTGTTGATCTATGACTTTAGAGCCTACTTAGGAGACGATTACAAACATTTTTTAATGAAATAAAGGTATTTTGAGTTTGAGTAAGCTCCAATTGTGAACGATTTATTTTTGCCCAACACTGTTCCTAGTACATCGATCACTTTATAAAATCAATTAACTACAAGTATAACGTATGATGAGGCGACACTGTCCTTAATAGGTTTTCTTCGTACCTGTTACTTCATTACCATATTCCTTATAGTGCACTACTTTGTAAACACATGTTTGTTGAAAACGATCTATAAATAAGTATATCAAGTCAACTGATAATGTAATTAATAAAATATTTCATTAGCAATTGACATAGTTACCCAGTTAGAGTAGGTTATCTTTTAAGCGATCATTCATTCATCAGAACGGGTGGTTTGACCTCGGGGCCTGTCTGACTTCACTGAGACTATTGTAGCCATAGTTGAAACCTCTGTTCTTGCTAGTCACGTATACCACGAAATAATTGCGCAATTATAACACTTTACTTTAAGCGGTTTTTATAACACTTTTTTTTATATAAACTTCGGAAATAAGTTATAGGAAAAGGTCTTTTTTCCTATTCTTAAATGGCTATTGAAGTAAAACACTAAAATGAAAAAAAAATCTAATAAAAAGTTATCTTTGATAAAGTGATTCAAAATACCGAGCCCTAAAGAGTAATGCAGAAAATAAATGAGGAAATATTTGTAATTGATTGAACAGAATCCTGTATACGTTTTCTTTTATTTTAAGTACTTCAAAGTATGAAATATTAATAAATGTTTAAATTTTTATTTGAATAAAGTTAGGCCGAAGTCTTTAAGCAAGGACACTTCGTTAGCGAAAAGGAAACAGCCCGACCGTTATTGCCTAAATAGCAGGTGTAACATTTATAAAACGATCACGTTTATTTGGCCACAAAGCTTTCAAGGTTTTTATAACAATTGCAATACATCATATACTTTATAAGGTCCTGTCTACATTTTTTCTAGGAAACAAGTGATGCTAGTATTAATGTTGTTTTTATTTGTTAAAATGGTCTCTAATGTGAGAAATATGCACGAAATAATAAACCTGTAGAAAAAATACCTATGTCAATGCTTGCTTTTTATAAATCATTATAGCCCTTAATAATGTATATAGCCATATTATATGTATAAGATTCGTATTTCTAACTCCTAGACTTTGTATTACTAGGCCATAAGTGCGTATGCGTGCCATTTCAAAAAGTCAGTTTAAAACTTTAGTGCCCCTTTTCGTAGATAGACAGAATGGGCTATTTACGATAAAGCAGGTTCAAGTGGTTTCATTCTTAACAGTATTGCCATGTATAATAATATGCATGTATAAATGTCATATGATTTTTCAGACAAGGAGAAAAATGGTATCATCTTCGCAAGCACTTGACTGGAGAACTGACGAGCCCTAGTACTATGCAGGGCTTTCTACCAGAACTCAATAACATCTGCGACGATTTTCTCGTTCTTTTGGACTTCTGCAGAAGAAGTGACGGCACTGTCGTTGGCTTTGATCAACTTACTAACAGAATGGGACTAGAGTGTAAGTAGTAGAAAAGTTTAAATACATGAAAAGATTTTTATAACATAAAGCGTGGTGTACATATTAGTAAAAGTCGTGGTGATCCAAATTATTACTGGATAAAATGCTAAAAATAGCACAATCTGTTAAGCGCTCAGGAGACTATTCTATGCTCAGGAACCTATTAAGATAAGTTAAAATAAATTTTCGTCTTTTAGTTGCTCAGTAGGTACGTTATGTCGTTAGTAGTTACCGAGGTTTATTGCCTTGAGATAAGTTATCAAATCTCATGCTTACCGGATACGGACTGAATACGTTTAAAACCCGTCGTTTCGGCTTATATTTATTAAAACTTCATGTGTTGAAAAAAATTTAGGCCCTTGGAGTTGGGAGAATAGACTTTCACTGCAAAGACGGATAAATCAGCAACCTTTAAAAGTCTTGATGCACCTTATATTCAGCAGCTTTACTTTGAAATACCTCACATTTAGTAGAGGTTATTGTAGGAAGAGAGAAAACGTTTACCAGTAATAATTAAAATGTATCTACATCTTGTTGAACTTGTACGTCACGTACAAAAAAATACACACACCTTTATAACACCAGGTAAAAATGTAGATTAAAAAGTGTGATAAAATTAGAAATATCAATAAATTTAGTATGTTGATTATTTTAGTAGTTGTAATCGTTTTGCATCTTAAATAATATGCATCCTTGAGCATCGTCGCCGAGTTCAAATGCTAAAGTCAGTGGGTCTTAAGTAGATTTAGACTTGCGATAATACAGGCGAGAAAATAAAGTTGGTCAAGATAAGAATGTGGGTCACAAGTAGTAGAAAATAGCTTTAGCTACCAACGTTCTTGTGTGCATGGTCCAATCGCTAGGAATGCAACAATAATATCAAAAACTCATTACGAATCGTGCTCGACAATAGGTTTAAACTTATCAGCCTTAATGACCAGGAAATATGTGGTAGGAGTTTCGTTACATTTACCTGTCACATCTTCTATTTTTTGTTCTCAGACAAAACTAAAATAATTAAAATTAACTGTAGAAATATTTGGTATTTTTAACATCTATTCATTGTCTATTCTATATTCCTTAAATATTAAATTATTTTATAGGTGTGCAAAGAATAATAAAGTAATTCTAGAATAAGTATAATACATACTTAAATAAATGCGCAAATATATTGTATAAATAATTAAATTTATAATCTAAATATACAAAAATGTTAAGTTGGTTTGAGTACGCTTCAAAAACTCAAAAAGCTCTGCACCGATTGAGTTCAAATTTTGATACGATATACAAAACGCTTCATTCAAAGATAGCTATTTTTCGGCTCAGTTCTATTCTCCATTTCGCATCAATGTAACCACAATGTTCCGTGTACAGCTAGTTTATTTATAATTAAGATAAACATTAATATTTAAGGAGTGAATAAGTGAAAGCTAGAGTTGTATAAAAGAAATTAAGTAAGGTAGGCAAAGTAGTGTTACAAAATTAATAGCTCTTCAATACATATAACACTGCTTAGCTTGAAGAAGTGTCATAAACAAAAAGAGAACCGATAGGAGAAAAATAAAAAAAACAGTCCAGAATAAATGTAAGGATAGTTTTTTTTTTTTGCCCTTTCTTACTACGAAGTATGGCCTTACATACTTCATAGTAAGAAAGGGCTGGAAAGTTATACATAAAGAATAGTCGTAGTCATAACATTCAAATATAACAATGTAAGATCTGGTTACAAAATGTACCTCCGACCTAGCCATAATGGGTCCCTTTACCAATAATCTTGTTATTAATTTCATAGCGGTGTGCGGTCTAATGCTGGGAACGAGGCTCGGATTCCTGGAACGTTGGATGTCTGGCCGAGCTGCAACATTAGCCACCGCGGTCAAGGCACACTTCAGGGCACAACGAGACTCCTACTACGGAGCACCTTTGTGGAAATTCGCACCTACCACTCTCTATAGAACATTTGTGAGAAGCGAAGAAACCATTCACACGTGAGTATATTCTATTATATCGATGTGAAACTTCTAAAGCGCGTCGCCACGGTATGCGTCGCTACGCTATATGTTAGTTTGTAACATGTTTCTAATACGGTGTGGCAAGCGACGCTATGCGGCTCTACAAAATTATTTCTATGTTACACATCTGCTAGAAGTCCCCGGACAGCACTTTTTGTAATCTTCGATATCTAAACCAAGATAATAAGTTTATTATTGATTCCAGATTAATAAGATATCTATTATAATAACGACACGTAGAGATCATACGAAGGACGATGCACCTTATTATATCTACATTTAAAAATTGTGTTCCAGAGGACACATGCTGCTCCACAGTATTGTGTTGATTGTATTATCAACACAATACAACGCAATATAAGTTTAATGTTCACTCAATTTAAGCGAGCAAAAACTCCATTGAAAGAGCTCGTTGCAGCCAATCTTCTTAGACCAAAACGTACCACGTACCTCATTAGAATATGATAGGTAAATATAGAGAAAGAAGGTTATAAAGTATTTAATTTTTATAACCTTCTTAAAACTTAGTTGAAGCTTTGATTAAATTTTTTATTGAAAATTATTAGGTATGATACAATGACTGCTTCAACCACTTTAATGTTATCTTACTTCAATTAAATGCACAATTCTTACTGCTTTTTTGCTCTTTATTTATTGTTAGGACTTTGTAATTCGTACATGTCAGTCCCATCGTACCTCATACAGATTGTTACATTACAATTTAATTAAATTTAAATAAACCTTAGTGATACGAACTTACAAAGCCTAGAGGCGGATTTTGACAATAGGAATTCTTACTGCTTTAAATTCGATTATATGACGATGATCCCAATTAGGTATCTACTATTGCTAGGTCTATTGCTAGGATGTCATATCGATTGCAAATAAAGTAATCTGTGGTCGGTTTATAAAGCGGCAATTATTGCACTATTGCTAAGTATACCTACCTACATTATTTACTACTATTCCTGTGCTTGGTCATGACAATAGTACAATCGGTATATTCTACATGGATGTTTTGACAATTCGTAATTTAGTGCAACAAAACACGGGATTAAAGGCAAAAAAAACCTTTAAAAAAATTTTTGACTTCAAACAATACTAACAAAGAGCACTAAAAATCTAGCAATCGCGGTTGCTGTCATTTTTTGAAGAGTTCCGTTGTCTGTCTCCGAAACTCATCATCAGATCTGTATGAAATTTAAATCGGACCATATCGGTAAAACCCCCTTTCGAACAAAATAAAAAGAATTCTGCAAATCCCTCTATATACGGAGTCATGCCCGAACATACATAAAAAAATATACATATGTAGGTACACCCGAATTGCTAACCTCCTCCTTTTTGAAGTCGGTTAAAAAAATATCTATCACAAACGAAATTTTGGTAAGTTTTTACCTGAACCGCCTTCTAATACACGGATGGCATATTAGTATTCGTCAATTTAGGACAAAGTTTACAATTAGTTTTGCAGATTTGATAAGCAAATTTTGATATTAATTTTAAAACTTAAAACGGCTAGTACCCGATACGGCGTGCAGTTTCTGGTCGGCACAAGTCCGACATAACCACCCCATCGGTGGGTCGTATTTAAAGGGGTTTTCCGCAAGGAAAATAATCCATGTTTGTAATGATTTACAATTTTACTTGTAAAGACATAAATATCTTCTGAAAATCATATTGTATGGACTGTTGCTTGTTTAATTTGAATACGTCAAGCATAAAATTACATTATTGGCAGGATAGTATCGGAGCTGATGGAGGAAGCGAAGTTAAAGAAACAAGGCACTGCCAACGATGATGCTATGCGCGAAATTTTCATAAAAATTCTAGAGAACCCAGCTCTAGACATGAGAGATAAAAAAGCCGCAGTTATTGACTTCATTACAGCTGGGATTGAGACGGTAGGATTATTAAGACTCACATAATAATTCTGCAATACTATTGCTCTACTAGGTACTACTGTAGCATTACGTTGTTTACAGCTAGCGAATAGTCTGGTGTTCTTGTTATACTTACTGAGTGGAAGACCGGACTGGCAAAGGACCATTCGTGACGAGCTACCTTCATGCAGTACGTTAAGTGCAGAAGATATAGCTGCAGCGCCTTCAGTCCATGCAGCCATCTATGAAGCTTTTAGACTTTTACCTACGGCTCCGTTTTTGGCCAGACTTCTGGATGCGCCAATGACCATTGCTGGGCATAAGCTTCCTGCTGGGGTAAGTTCGAAGAGATACAGATATAATAGTTTATAAAAGTATTGTATGTATTTGAGAATGTTTCAGTTCAGTTCAATAACACTTTTTATAAACCGTGGATCCTACTCTGCAAAATATTTATCCTAGCATGACCGGATAAATCTTTATTATATAAAATTCTTTAAACTCACTAAAATACTAGTATTTAAATCTAATTACTTATTGTATTAAATCGATATGTAGAAGCACAGCCAAGATGTAACTATTAAATTATTTACTTAAAATAATACATGTTTTGTGTTTTAGACTTTTGTACTAGCTCATACGGGTGCAGCCTGCCGTCGCGAGGAGAACTTCTGTCGCCCTGGAGAGTTCCTACCGGAGCGTTGGCTTCAACCGATGACTCCGCACGCTGCGTCGTTAGTAGCGCCTTTCGGACGCGGGAGGCGAATGTGTCCCGGAAAACGATTCGTCGACCTGGAGCTGCATCTGCTGCTCGCTAAGGTACTATGATACATTGTCTTTCTTCTGGCATTTTTTAAATCATTTAACAGTTAGTAATTATCTCTATTCTAAGCTGGTCAAAAATATTTCGTTTTGATTATTTAAGTATTTGAAAGAAAATACACAATATGCTTTGATTCATCCCTTGAATTTGATTCTTAAAAAAAAGCTAATAACCGAAATGAAATAAATCCAAACATATTACATACGTAAATTACTACGGTACGGTACTACAAGACTAATAGTACCTACTCTGTGATACAAGGTGTATGTATTTATATGAGTAGACATCGCCTTTAAAATTATGACGTTCTTACATTCTTTTTGGTTAAGACGTGGAAAAATCAAAGATTTTGTTTTCTATTCTTCTTCTCATTATGTTATAAACCAACCAATAACCAAAATGCTCATTTTATAACAGTTAAGAAAGTCTCAAATCAATAGTAAAAAGTATGTGCCATCCCTAACCTATTTGGGTGCTTTTGTTGCCTTTAACCATTGATATAATACTTACATAGATGAGTAATTACCGCCTAAAATCGTTGCTACTGCACATATGTCCACAGGCATATGCGTAGCAAACGTCAATTCATTATTCAATGTGGCGTCAACCGAGTTGAACATAGCGACACATGACAGTAACAATCGCCAAAATGGCTAAATGCGTAGTGAAAGAATGCGATTTAAGGTCAAAAAACATTAATAAATCATGCGGAATTACTTTTCACGTGTAAGTTTATGGTTTTTGTATTGATAATATCGTAAATAAGGCTATAATTGAAATAAAACACTGATAATTGTAATCTAGAATCAGTGTTACCATTAAAAAATCATTTTGGTTTTCCCACATTAGTGGGAGAATTTATAATTTATGAAATAATATGCTTTATACTGTTTTTAAACATTTTGCCAATAATAATAAAATATAGGAAGAACGGTAGTTGCTAGGGCTGGACCGATCCCTTTTTTTAGGGACCCGTTGAACGTTCACTGCGAGCTTGGTAGAAGTGCCAAGCTCGCAGTGCTGGAGACTTTTGTACAAAAAAATTAATTCATTGTTTTTCTTAATTTATTATCAATTTTAAATAATAATTGTACAAAATAATAATAATAATAATAAATGTTTATCATAAAAAGAAAATATAAAATAAAAAAGTAAATAAACATAAATATTTTTTTTTATAAAATAAAAATAAATTATGATTGATGATGAAAATAAAAATGAATTTGCAATACACCCTGGGGATTATTTATTATCAGTACAAGTTGATCATTCACTTTTATTATTAAATGCTATTATTTTTACATACGTAAAAATAAGATTGTATCATGAAAGTAAAATATCCACACAAACTTATAAAAAGAGTCTAAAAGACAATTGTATACAAAACTCATGCTTCACAGCGCAGTTTGATTTTACACTGAATATAAACCCTTTTAACCAAATATTTCCAGTTATTTTATTATTTATACCTATTCTATTCAATTCGAAATATATTATTTAGAATATTTAAATTAATTTATTTTATTACAAAATTGTTTTAAAAAAAATTGTTTCTTAGTTGTTATGGGTAAAATTTCATACGGTAGTCAACACTGGCCCACCATCGTAAAGTTATATCTTTGTCTTTGTCTAATCCGAGCGATGCTATTGTTCTTGTCTCGCGTGTAAATGAGACATAAATATGTTTACTTTCAAATGTTTAGTGGTATCAAAGCTACGTCGTCAAAGTTCAAAAGTGGTTACACTTTTTTCGACGTGTGATAATGAGGTTTGCTTCTCTAGTGTTGTTTTAACTCAATGCCTTTAACTAAATTTTGAAGAATAGGATCGCCTAATGCGCCGTTGCGTGATTTCGAAATCACGCAACGGCCGCAACAAACTATTTACAAGTTAACGTTGACGAAAGTCGACGCAGTCAAAATAAGTCTAGTTTTCATACTAGTTAGTATTTGAAATTACTTGGAGTTAGCTTGCTCTTGCGATCAGCGAAGCAAATACCTAGGTAGATAAAATCTGTTTATATATTTTTGTATAAGTTTTCGTGCAAACCTATTTGTTTACCAATATTTTTTTACTTTCTAGATAATGCAAAGATGGCGCGTGGAGTTTGACGGCGAGTTAGACATTCAATTCGATTTTCTACTAGCACCGAAATCCCCAGTATCATTGCGTCTAGTCGAGTGGTAAAAGAACATTATAATTGTTCAACTTCTCCGATTATACAAATTAGCGTACATGATTACGGTCGTATCACCTACTCTTTTGATGTTACATGTATCTGACCGAATCTTGTAGAGTTCTGTTTTTTCAGCTCTAAAGATTATTATATAGTATTGTAAAATATACATAGCTGTTTGATCAAGCCCTGGTATGCAACCGAATGAAATTTTTATTATAAACGCCCATATTCGTGTTTGTATAAAAAGCTTTATTAAGACTAAGTTTCGATATTTAGTCTTACGGTACGCGTACGCGTACGGGTACGCAAATTAATTTAGTGTTTATTAACTATAATGATGTCCGTTGTCCGTCTTTTTCTTTGCTAATTAGTGTCTTTAATGTCGTATACGTGCGAACCATATGTCTTGAAACTTCATGAGATCGTTTTCAAGTAGCGACACATGTAACCGGAAGAGAGATAAAATATTATAACTTAGTTGTTAGCACAGTTTCAGACTAAATTCCGATCGTGTATTTGAGCAAAGTATCCATTAAATTTGCACCCAATTTGAATGGTAAAACAAAGGTAATTCTTATTAACATTTTTAAATTGTAATGTTTCCCACATTCTCCTAACTCTATGTTTAATAATCATTAAAATACATTTTAATTTGATATTAACGATAACACACAAATAACATCCAAAAGGAGATAAAGATCTAAAGTCAAATAATTGTATTGGTTACAAAAACTGCACAATAGTGATGTAAGTTTTTTTAATTATTTGCTTTACTACTTTTTATGCCCGTCTAGGATATCTGTATAATCTATGTTATTTAGGTGCTGATTGGTATCCCGGATAAACTTCAATTCCTTTTCTGCAGTAAAAGCAGTCTCTTTTAAAATATCAGATTCTTTATGTATGTAATATATGAGCAATCATATATTCGGCCCTCTGGTTATCAAACTTATATTGGAATACTTTAATTGTAACTTAGTGGCTATGACACCTCTAATTTAGAGTATGTTACAGGGTAATGTAAAATTCTGCTCAAATTACACACAATTTGCTGATTGTACAACATCTGATTGTACACAAATTATTTAAGACCCTAATGTACGTGTTAATATATTTACGTATTATACCTACTAAACTAGTTTATAGTAACACAATATTGTAAAAATATGGCTGTGTTAATATCAAAAACGTATTTATATAAAATGTTATAACCGCAAATACCTCTTGTTATAAGACTGTGTACTGCCAGCACATGCATTTGTGAGGATTTTTTATTCAGTGTAAACGGTTTAGTCTCTAACATTTGTGTATTAATGCTGTAACTAGGCTTTAACTGAGTGCTGGTTTTTCGGGGCCCGAGGGTCATCGATATATTTCTATTCCTTTCTAATTTTGTCGCCAGATTACGTGTGTGTGTGATATCCAATTCTTCAGTTTAAAAATAGTTATATGTTATAAGTGCAACTTCGATATATGTGTTAGAACTATATTAGAAGTGGCCATTTGATGTTTCTCATCAAGCTTAGTTTGTAATAGACTTCACGGTCACATCTTTGTTAGCTTTTATAATAATTGAAATTATTGATTAGTTTGGTTAAGATTATATAAGGACCATACAATATATTGTTACGGAATATATTATTTTGGAATAATAATGAATAATCAATGGATAGAACATATAGTAAAGAGATTATAATAATAATCAGTTGCCTTTTATTTCTACTCTAATTTCCTAACGTATAATTATTATTATTTATTTTTTTTTTATTTAAAAAAGACAACTCCCGCATTAGGAATAAATCCTGTGTCGCGGGGGACTTTACAAACATACATGAAACGGACACAAAGAACACCCAGACTCAGAACAACAATTTGTGGATCACACAAAGTGTCGTCCCATGTGGGGTTTGAACCCACAACACTCGGCGTAGTAGGAAGCGGCGTGGCGACCGCTTAAACCACTACGCCATCCGTGCAGTCAAATTGAGCTCACTTTCCAATATATTCCTAGATGCCAATACTTTTACGTCCGTAGGTTATCCTTATTATTGACAGCCAAGCAGCAACAACCGGGAAAAGCTCCAACCGATGCGGATTACCAGTCGGCATAACTGCTCACAGAAATATATGTTTTCCATAAATAATAATAGGACAGGCGTGGAGCGCAGCGGCTTTTTAGGAACACTGGACACATCGCTGGATTGTTCAAAATGGTGAAATGCCAGAGGATAAGACTCTATGGATAAAACAGGGGGTAGTCTCGAAATCTCGCCAGATTTGCCCATTATAAATATAGCTAGAAAACAGTTTTACATCTTAGTATGTACTATAAATATTATTGAGATTGTATTGCGAGCAACCTTGTGGTAGTTGCAATAACAACCAACACTAAATTACAAAAAATGTAGGTACTGTGACCGAACTTTTACATTTAAAACACAAAACACTATCTGTAAGCAAACATCTTAAAAACATCGAAGGTCACGCAGTGCACTGCCAAGACGAGCCAAGCTTATAGCATTTGAACAAAATTTTCGGGAAATGATGTTAATAGTAAACTTATTAAACATATAAAGTTTCAATCGCATAGCTTTTATACTTCAGATTTTATTGATGTCTTAAAAACCCTGATTTCGTAACTAACTCATTGATGATCATCAAAATTCTTAGGGTACTTCCTGAAGTCCTAGAAAGCTGAAATTGGTGTTTAAGCTAGTTTTAGTACAAAAACAACGGAAGAAAACTTAAAATTTGGCACTTTCCTCCCCCCTCCTCCTCTCAGACTAGATGGATGATTCTCCGAGTTCGCGGGGTGGTGGGCTCCCTACAGAGGCTTTTGCGTAATCTAGGGGGTCCGCGTGAGGAAGTCCGCCGCCTCTGCTGTGCAGTAATACGATCCATGGCCCTCTACGGAACGCCGATATGGGCCAAACGCCTATCAGCCTCCTCCCATTGTCGATCTAAGCTCAATCAAGCGCAGAGGGTGGCGGCCATTCGGATCGTACGGGGATACCGCACCATTTCGTCGGAGGCGGCGACAAACCTGGCACCATTTCCACCTTTTGATATCCTGGCAGATATGGATGGAGGGTGTATGACCAGACTAGCGCGATCCGATGGGGTGAGAGCCGAAATCATTTTCTGTTAATGTAAGCGTCTCTAGGTAAATTTTAATAAAAAAAAACATAAAAGAAGCATTTTTTTAGTTTATATTTTAGAACATTCTGAGCAACCTACCTGTATTATACACGTGGCCGGGCTGCAACGTATACGGCGCAGTAATAATATTCTTTATCTGTCACCACACGGACAATTTTAAGGTATTTAAATTCAATTAACATAATTTTTATTCATTTTCTAAATCTTGTAGGTATTTGATTTTATTTAAATATTAATATTATTGGAACTTTTGTTTTCATTTAAGTATTTATGTCTAGGTGTAGAATTGCAAAATATGTGAAATTATTAAATTCGTGAGATGTACCTAAGTAGGTAGTTTATGAATAGTCTCGACCATTTGGTCGAAATAAAATGAATGAAAGAAATAAATGTGACTAGTATTTACTAGTCACATTTATTTCTTTTTAAAAAGACAACTCCCGCCCTAGGACTTTACAAACATTCATAAAACGGACACAAAGACTACATTTATTACATTATATTTTTTTAGTTACTATTCTTGGATTTATAGTGTTTTATCTATGGTTACTATGTACTTCTGGGTAGCTAGTTTTCAAGGACTTTTAAATAGGTACTTTGTGGTCGAGTGTTTTGAATTTGCTATACGATAAAAGATAAATTATGTTTTCCAGACGACTTGTGGTGAGAGAGGTTATCATTGTTTGTTATTTTTTATACCTACTGCTATTTATTGAAAATAATCAGTAACTAAACGCAGTGTTACGTATTTTATGGTGACTGAAAGATAACCTTTACAATACTTTGGAGTACTTTGACATTAACTAAGTTTACAATGAAGTTCTGTGCTAACTTGGGTTTTATGTTTACTGAAGCATCTTCTATATTAGAAAGGTATTCTTTAGCAAAAGATGCAGGTTTCAAAGCTGTTGAAAGTGGATTCCCATTAGGATTCACATTAGAACAAGTGAGAGATGCCAAAGAAAAGGCCGGTATCGAACATGTTTTGATTAACTTGAAAACAGGTTTGTTAATAAATAACACTATATTTCAATATATTTTTCTATTTCCATCACCACTGCATATTTATCTAAATCTTTTAATCCTTAGTAATTGAAATTGCATCCAATACCAATTTTTTTTGTGATGATTAAATGATTTAATGATTAAACTATAAGTAGGTACAATAAAATAAATTATATTGCTCTTGTAAGTTATGCTAGTGCTAATTAGGCAAGTTGTAATTACTGTTGCAAGATGAACTATAAACAGAAGACAATAAATTAATTTAAACTACACTAAATTAATATGGCCATGTACACAATTTTATAAAATAAATATATATCCTCTCAGCAAGCATTTGACCACAGTGCTGTAAGATGTTCATGCTCCTCACTGCACATAATATGTGGACTGAAGTTCAGTAAGCTGTTGAAGATGGGAAATAGAAGACATTAACTGAAATAGTCCTCTTTTCAGGTGATGTAACCAAAGGAGAGCTAGGAGTAACTGCAGTGCCAGGAAAAGAGAATGAATTCAAAGAGAACTTTGAAACTACTTTAAACTATGCTAAGGCTTTAAATGCTAAGAAAATACACATTATGGCAGGAAAACTAGATAATCCCACATCTCAAAATTGGGACACATACGAGGCAAATTTGAAATATGCAGCAGATGTGCTTAAGACTGAGAATATACTTGGTGTAATTGAGCCCATAAATCAGTACTCAGTCCCTAATTATTTTTTAAGTGATTTTCACAAAGGTGAGCATGGATTAAATTGTAGACCCTTTCTTTAATAATTAACTTAACCATCATTTTTTAATTACTTATGTTGACTGTACAGATCAGAAGATGTAATAAAGGAATGAATATTTTAAATCAATTAATTAAAGAAAATAACTAATAATCTTTATTCAAATTGATTACCTTTGTGAAAATCACTTAAAAAATAATTAGGGAAATTATTTTTTAAGTGATTTTCACAAAGGTGAGCATGGATTAAATTGTAGACCCTTTCTTTAATAATTAACTTAACCATCATTTTTTAATTACTTATGTTGACTGTACAGATCAGAAGATGTAATAAAGGAAGAACTAATAATCTTTATTCAAATTGATTAGATTAATTGTGAACATTATGTAAAAAAAGTAATTTAACTGATTTAACAGGCAACATATTAATGGATCAAAACAATAGTAAACAAATGATTTTGATTTTAATAATAAGGTGCTTATGTTAACTTTTTGTCAGCAATGACAACTTATTTGTGACATCCAGCTGCCATTTATATAGACTTCAGTACAGTACATATGAAAACTACAAACTGAAATAACTTTTGAACTCCAAGTTCTAAAAATCTGGTAATTGAAACTAACTGTTGTTATTACCAGTCAAATAAATACAACAATAATCCCTACCATAAGATACGCAAGGCGGTACCAAAGTCCCATACATGCCTGCCATTATCCTTTGATTCTGATAAAATGGGAAGTCAAAAAAATATTTTTTAGTTGGTTAAAAATAGTATAAATTAGTGAATCAAAGAATAATAATAATATTATGAAATAGATAGGATGAGTTTTATCATGTTTGTATTTACATTTCCAGCTTTGGACATAATAAAACGAATCAACAGTCCCAACCTAAAACTGATGTTGGACATATTCCATTTACAGCAACTAATGGGTGACATATCGCACAGCATTACAAAGTTCATGCCCTATGTAGGCCATGTACAGGTATTAAGATTATTCTATTAAGTATCTATTTTTATGGCAAAAATGATGTCAGGGTCTAATCTGCAAAAGAGAAAGTCTGTCTAAAAGATTCTAACTTTTAGGCAACCATTATCCTTAAGCTACGCAAAAATGAAAGAAAACCCATTGTTATATTTAACAAGCTGTACCCTGACAATGCTTCACTGTTGCACAATGTGGTTGTATTTATGAGAAATAGGAACACAAAGCAACTTAACATTTATGCTTAACAATAACTTAACAATTTGTATATAATGTGCAAGATGTTTAATATATGTAAGATTTATATACAGAATGGTAAATTTTGTAACTCTGAAAGGATGAAGCCAATACCTAAATATGTACACATACTTTAACTATTTAAAACAACCACTTCTTAAACTTGTGTCTCTTCATTTGAGAAAACCAGCTTCTTCTTAAGGAACTTAAAGGAAGTAAAAAGAAGGAATGGAGAGTAGTAATTAAATTTTGTTTTCTATATATACCATAACTATGACTAAATCTTGTATTTATAAATCATTTAAATGTAGTATTCTCTTTTACCTATCAAGTGTTACCACAACACTATAACCTGACTTACTAATATTTTGTTGGGTCTGTAAATGTTGTGATATGCTAATATAATACTATCTATTTTTACCAGATAGCCCAAGTACCCCACCGCAATGAGCCAGATACCCCTGGAGAAATTAATTATCAGTTTGTGCTTGAACAGCTCATCAGCAATGGCTATCAAGATTGGATTGGACTCGAATACAAGCCTTTGAAGAACTCTAAAGAAGGTCTGGTGTGGATAAAAAAATATGGTTATACTCTATAAGGTTAGCACATTACAGAGTATAATCATTTAACTAAGAGTAAGAATTTTGTATGCTCCTAAAGTCGTCAAAAAGAGGAACCACTTAGTTGGAAATATGAGTTCAGAGGTATTGTTATTTTGTTTGTAATATTCTTCTTCTATGGTCTGTTTCCTTTTTTTGTTATATGTATTTAATTGATAATCCGATGTCTACAAAATCTTTTATATTGCTATGTTTGTGCTATAAGATATATTCATCAAATATTAATATAAAAGTTGACTTAAAAAATAAACTATGTATTATATATTCAATTATACTATATTAGCCAATTGTATTGTATCTAAATGTAAATCTAGGTTTAAACCTTTGATCAAAAGGATCCATGTTATTTATTTAGAACGAGATAAGATCAGACTTAGAATAAAGGCATTTCTATAAGAATTGTTAAATAAAATATATTTTTAAAATACATATTTTTATTGTTACATTCAAAATATTAATGCATTAGTACTAATATATCTATGCAATCCCTATACATCATTGTTGTGGAACTGCTGCACCCAGTAGTGCTTCTTTACTGCGTCTAATGATAGGCGGTCTTTACTTGAGGGCCGGAGAAGCTGAAACAAACAAACTCATAATTAACCCTCTGTAGCTCTCTGTAGGGAGACGATTCTCTCCCTATCAAAATTAAAATATTTCTTCAAACTCATTTTGTTTAAATGAAACTTATCTGTAACGAACCAATGTATCGACTTAGTTTAACACAAAAAATGTAGACGGCGTTAGTGCCGCGTGACAGCAGTTGGTCGGCGACTATCGGTTTGAACTACCTATTAGTACCTGCTTTTGGAAAATAAGTAAAAAATACAAAAACCTGATAAATACTGTGTGTTTCGAAAATGTACAAGGTAAGTAATTGAATGCTTTCGATGAGTTTGACTTTTTATCATGTTTGTACCAGAAATGTCACATTGCCTAACATGGGTAAGTTTTTCTTTGTAAAGAAGCTTATAATATGATTAATTTCTTTTCCTTTTTAGAATGATTTCAACCACTTCGGGATGGCGAAATAGCCGACGACGATGACAGGGTTGCAGATCCAGATTATCAAGATGAAAATAAGATAGAACAACAGCAGTTTTCTAACGATGAAAATGAAGATGATAAAGTGAACCTTGGTGAGATTATTCATAGTTTAGAAGACAGTCAACCTGCTCCGTCACCATCTAGTGCTGCTGTACCAACTGAATCGCAACCAACCCAATCTGTGATACATCCTAGAAAGCAACAAAAACTACACTCACGATGGAAGAAGAAAAGTCCGCTTTTGAATGAGCAACAGCTGCGTTTTCTAAGATACGAAAACTCACCAACAGATATTTCAGAGTTTGTCACGCCGATTCAGATTTTCTTGTTTTTGTTCCGGAAAGATTTAATTGTATTTATTGCAACACAAACTAATTTATACATTGTGCAAAAGGCTCCCAATAATAGCTGTCGGGTTACAACAACAGACATTCAGAAATTTATTGGCATAGTTGTACATCATGTCTTTGATCGATCTTCCTCGAGTTACCAATCATTGGAACAGCAGCATTGGAACTCCTTTGATTCAAGAAATAATGGCCGTAAAGATGTTTAAAAATATTCGTCGGTTATTATATTTGAATGACAATTCCCAAAACTTGCCCTGCGAACATCCGGTTTTGACAGCTCTACGAATGAAAGAAATAACTTGAAAAGACACAACCCTAAAAAACCTCACAAATGGGGCTATAAGCGTTACGTTCTTAGTGGAGTCTCTGGATTCGCATATACGAGTAAAATCGAAACAGAAACTGGCTCAGAAAATGTGGTACTCGACCCTACGAACCTAATCTAGGTCTCATCCTCAAATGTCATGCGTCTATCACGAGTTTATTTCTCACAACTAAAATTACAGATTGTATTTCAGCAAGTTTGCCACTGCTAGAATAATTGTCAAAGAATGGTATACTGAGTCTTGGTACCATTCGTCGAAACAGGATCCCCGACTGCAAGTTAGCAATAGATAAAGACATGTCCTAAAAAGACAGGCTATTCTGTTGAGTATGTTGCTGATGTCAACGGTGTAGATGTAGCAACTGTAACCTGTAAAGATAATAAGGTGGTCAATTTGGCATCGAGTTTTGTAGGGGAAATACCAAAAGCACAGGTGAGGAGGATGTCATACCACCTCACCTGTTCCAGAAGACCAAGCAATACATACTCGTATCAATTGATCGTCCTTGTTGGAGAATATAATCGCCACATGGGTGTCGTCGACCTAACCGAAAGCATAATGGGACGTTACAAAATACAGCTCCGCAGTGAAACGTGGCAATATCGCCTGGCAATATCGTGGCAATATTACCATTTATTGGATTTGAGCATGGCAAATGCCTGGCTTCTTTACAAAAGAATTCATAAAACAAAGGCTTTGCAGGATAAACATTTGAACTCTGCTCTTGAATTCTTAAGTTGCAACAACTTTGTGTAAGCTAAATGTAGTATCAAAGATAAAAGACCGTCGATCTATCGAAAAAGAAATTCAAGCAAAACAACACAAAGATCCAGCACACATGTTGTTCCTCCAGTTGCAATCAGGCAAGATCAGACAGGTAACTGGCCTGTTCGGACAGAAAAGAGAATACGTTGCAAATTTCCTAAATGTTCTGGTGTCTTACAAACAATGTGGCGTTATTCTGTGTTATAATAAACACAATAATTGTTTCAAACAATTTTACTTATGTTAAGTTACCTTTATGATGAAGTGTTATATTTATGTTACACTCCCCTTAAATTTGTATTTTTCAAATAAGTAAGTTCAGATTTTTCCAAAAACACATGTTTTTATTTCTTTCGATAACAATTTTTCACTACTTATTTACCCCATATATAAATATTGCCCTACAGAGGGTTAAAACAAACACTGAGACTGCATCTATATACTTTTCTATAATTGATGAGCATAGGAAAGCTTGAAACGAGAAAATTTAAAAAATAATGTGATGTACACATTGGCAAATGGGTGCTAAATAGCTAAACTACATAAGTCTGTAAAATTTATTACTTCTTATTTATTATATTCTTATTATTTATTGCTACATTAATTGGAAAAGCAGTGCTGTTTTTATACATACAATAACTAAGGGCACTCACTTTTTGGTGAGTAGAGCAAATAAAGACGTCTGAAGGAAGTGGGTCCGTTATGAATATTTATTGACTTTAATAAAATGTACATAATTTAAAATTATGAGACATTTGTAACAATTTGCCATATAAATTATTAAGAACACTCTACACTATTAAGACATCAAGTGATAACATAGAAATTTTTAAGATAGTAATTGCAACTAGATACATCACACTACACTACTTCGTGTCGTGACTACTTTCAGTTTTAATCATTCTTGAAAAGATTAAGGGTTTCTAATAAGTATCAAATGCAATTTTTACCATTTTAGGTGACTAAATATTATGATAATGAAGTAAGAAATTTCACTTTGCCTACCCGAAAATAAACAATTACTGTAAAGACAATAGTATTACAAACCTTAGAAATAAGATCCTTTGCTCCTTCCGGTACATGACTGGGATACACCAGGTCTAATGCAAGGATCCTTGCGTAAGTTTTGTCCTGACCTTCACTCTCAAACGGAGGTTTCCCAACGAGAAATTCATATAAAAGTACTCCAATACACCAATGGTCTACTGACACATCATATACTTCACGCTTTATCATCTCTGGGGGTAGATAGTCTAATGTACCACACATTGTCTTACGCCTGAAAGAAATGGTAACATATGTTATTAAAATGAATTATGAATAGGCTATTATGCCCTGTTATCAACACATACACTATTTTCTTAAGACACATAGACTGTTATGGGCCTGTTGGTCTAGTGGTTAGTGTCGTGGGTTCGGTTCCCACCCAGGACAAATAATTGTGTGATGAGCATGATGATTTGGTCTGTGTCTGGGTGTAATTTATCTATAAAATATGTGTATTTAGAAATATATAAGTATGTTTATCAGCAGTCTGGTTGCCATAGTACAGGCTCACAATTCCCAAAACTTGCCCTGACACACAGCTGTCTGATTCCAAACTTATTATTGACAGATTTCTTTGTCTTGTGTGATGATGATGATGATGATGGCAAAAGTCGTGTGTTTGTTTTCCATCCAGGACCATTTTTTGTATGTTGAATTTTATGTAACTACAATCATTTGTTCTGTGTCTGGTAATGATCAGACCTGCCATGTGCGAGATTTGCGAGGTTGTTATTATTTTCTTGTCCATTTAAATGTTTTCTTTTAGTGTATATAGTATATATATATCTGTATAATTTTAAATGAGAAATTATAATGTCGACCTTTTTCAATTGTTACTTAAAAGACTTATTTGATTTAGCAAGTACCAAGATAAGCTGGATGTTCAAGTACATTACCTTTCTGAAGGAGCATGCACAGACCAGCCAAAATCAGCAAGTTTAAGATCACCGTTATAAGCTACTAAGATGTTTTCTGGTTTTATGTCTCTGTGTATTACATGATGTTGATGACAGTATTCTACAGCATCTACAACCTGGAGAAATATACACAGTTACAATTAAGTGTAAGGTTATTTATTAGAGGGTAAATTGTTTTATTCTTTCACAATACACTTCTACACATTGTTGAAGAAGTATATAACATGTACACATAACATTACCAGCAGCCTGCTAATGACACAATTTAACATTTAAATATGCATTTACAGGGTTACTTGGTAAGTCAACATAAATCCTGTAAGGGGTTGTAGTTGCCATCATTTCTGATACAATTGACTAAAATACCATATCTAAATTTTGCTTACTACATTTTTTTTTAAATTTATAACCCTTATTTTATATTTTTTTTTTACTGTTTTTGTGTAGTTGATAAATTGTTTTATGATTTCAATTACTAAAATTGTAGTTAACGAACTGGGCTCGAAGTAGATGGTTAATAATAGGAAAAATAAAAATAAAATGTATTTTGTCTTCTTTTTCTTAAACAAATATTATTAAAAAACATCTCTGACAGTTAAACTGTAGATTTGTTTAAAAACATATGTGTATTCTTAGCTATCTAACAAGGTATAATAGATTAGATAGAATAGTTTCAGAATTCATAAACACAGTCAATAAAAATATTTCCTCTAATTCCAAGATGTGGTATTACCGAAAGGTTAAATATTTTTTGCACTATAGACCTGTTTTGTGTTGTATTCCAGCTAAGGTATGTTCGAATTCTAAGTTATAAAATTTGCTTTCATTGCCAACCAACTTTTCTAGAATTTTTATGAGAATATATTTGTGTTGTCTTTAATTTTCACCATTACAATTTCTAATTATTTGAATCCAATAATTTCTCCATACTCCATTTTCCTTAGAAAATGTAGTAAAAAGAATATGAAATAAAATACCTAGTATTAAATACATAACCTTAATAGATTGTTTTTAATGATAAACCAAAAATTTCCTATATTTCAGGTAATTTGCACACATGAAAATTTACAACACTAGGTTTATAATGAATTCTTTTGTTTTAGCGAATGCATGAATTGAATGTATTCATTTACCTATGAAACGTGATTCCCAGATTATTTTTCTTTTGGTCACTAGAATTTTTACGGCATTTCACCACGCAAAACATGTATATTTATATTTTTTCGCCGCGTAATGCGCCTCAATATCTGTATGCCGAACTATGAGTGACACAGTTTTTTGTTAGCGAGACTATGTCCGACTTTTTTATATGTCCATGGAGATATGGTATTTCATAGTGTGGTATGGTATTTTATAATCTATCAGAAATGATGGCAACTACAACCCCTTAAAGTATTTAGGACAACTTACCCAGTAATCCTGCAAATGTATTACAATTGCTTTTATTTGTCTATATTTTATATTACCAGCTTTTTCATTAAAATCGATTCATTAGTTTTGATTTCCCATACAAACTTTCACTCCTTTAAAGGGTGGTTGCTGGGATAAGAACAATCCTATGTCTTTTCGGGGTATTGGTATATATTGTCCTTTCTGGGACTCAAACTATCGCTTTTCCAAATTTCATCTGAATCGGTGCAGCAGTTTCATAGTGAAGAGTAACAGACAGACAGACACACTTTCGCTTTTATAATATTAGAATGGATTTCACTATATATATTTAAATTTTATGTATATTTAGGATATAATTCGGTATAATTAGGATTATTGCTCCTAGAAAACACATTTGTTCTCAGCTGAATTACCTCCACTGCTTGACATAGGCCCAGAAACATGTAGATCAATACAAAAGCAGAATGATAATGTGAATGTCAAAATATAAATATAATTTTATGAATAACAATTTCTCATTACCTGATAAATATATTTAGCAGCTGTGGCTTCTGGAAACCGGCCTTTAGGTGAATTAGTGAGATGCTTATACAATTCACCTCCTGCTGCAAACTCTACCACTAGATAGATGCGTCTCTCATCATGAAACCATGTCAGTAACCTTAATATATGTGGATGTCTGAAAGTAAAAGTTAAATTAAAGTAACCTCATGATAATAATAAGCATTAAGTTACGTAAGTAAGTAGTAAGTACTATTACAATAACAACTTATTTAATCTTAAGCTCCATAACATTGTTTTTATTGATTAAATATTATAGTCAAGGTTTTGATGAAAAAAAAATCAAATAATAATATCAGCTAAATACTTATATACAAATTGATAACTATTCTCATTAATTCACTTATTTGATGAAGTCAAAAAGATTTATTTGTATTCTTATAAGCTATTAATGAGTTTTTGGAAGGCACATACACCCAAAAATAATATCTTAGAAATGATGTCTCACATGCGCACATCTTTTGCGGAAATTTATCATAGGTAAAATACAAAAATAAAAAGCCCTTTATTATTTTTTTAAGTATTTTATGTGGCATGTGCATGCTATATATTTAAAGATCTTTATGACAAAACACGAGTTATAGTTACAGAGCGCATAGATAAAATTCTGATAACATTATAACAAAACTGAAACCAAGAATTAAAAAAAAAAACATGTGCGTAAAATTTAAAATTTAAGCTGGCCGATGAGGACGTAACGTGGGTATGAGTAAAAGTTTTCAAAACTGTTACTTACTTGATATGTGACTGAATTTCAATTTCTCGCAATACTTGCCTCTCACATTTCGATCGTGTGATCTGTGATTTAAATAATGTTTTGATGGCCACTAAATACCCAGTTTTCTTTTCTCTGGCAACATGAACATGGCCGAATTTGCCTTGGCCAAGTGCAGAACCTAGTTCGAAGTCTCTAGGTGACCATTTATATCTGAAAATGTGATATTAACGTATTAGGAAAACATTTGGTCAAGACTAGTTTGGTATAAGTTATAACTAAACTTACGAAGTTCCATAAGCCTCATGATTGATTATTTTTGTTTCTAAATCTAATACTTCGCTCTTCATTGTCATAATAGATCATAAACGGTAAACGTTTAAAATGAATGAAAGTGAAGTCTGTTTATTTGATTCCAAATTCCAAACAAATCGGGATTCCGTTACTCCACCAAGTTTCAAATACTTTGACATTTCAATAAACGTATAGTGTTGCCATACTACTGTAAAAGAATTCTTCTATAGAACCGAAAAGTTTCTATCAAAAATGACAAACCGTACATAAAAATCTACCAAACGTACATAGCACATTGTTTGGGAGTGCTGGAGCCATCAGGAAATTATAATTAAAAGCGAATTAATTTTCAGATAACATATATTATACCAACTTATTATAATATTTATATTATACTAATCAATATACGATACTACCGCCGCCGGAAACCAGCTGACACTCACTCACTCAGCGAAAGGTAACGAATGAATTGCTTGACAACGATTTTCTGTGTGGCCGTGGTATATTACTATCCAATCAAAAACATAAATGTGAAATGAGAGCTAAGATAAATATTAAGAATATGCGTCATTGTCGACTTCGCCGGCAAAAGAATTGAGATCTATATGGATGCCAAGTTCTGAGTTGAAAATCCTAAAATTTTAGTTTCAAGAATATACAACATTCTAAAATAAATTTATAAAACAATTTCTTGTGTCTGTGTCTGTGTCTGTGTGTGTGCTACCACATTATTTTTTTTTACTTAATAGGTTTTTTTACTCAATTTTAACAGACAATTATTTACAAAATTTAATTATTTAATTTGTGATGTGATTTAAGTTCACAATCTGTCTTGGCTAGTTTTCACGTATAGGCTAAATTATATTTGTCTAATGAACTTATCTTTGTTAAGTCATACGCAAGTTAGTGTACTTCCTGTTTGTACTGCACTTATACTGTTAGGTTGATGTAATACCTATGTTACTTTTCTGTAATTAGGTTTGTTGGTAATAACTACTTGGCAGTCACAACTTGAGCTTGAATTACATCCCAAGTGAAATAATTGCATTTTGTAAATAATTGTCCCACCTAATTTTTCTTCTGCTATTTTTTTTTCAAATTCTTCTAATTTTTGACCATGTTTAATTGCCGGTGTTTGCACAGATTTTGCTCCAAAAAACAGTGCAATTGGAGTACCATTTATAAAAAAAACTTGTATCTAAGTGCCACCACAATATATTCTACTTAATAGGTAATATAAATTCTTAAGTTTTAACAGACAATTATTTGCTGAACACCAAAATTCTAGAAGTTTCGAGTCGAGCAGTTCGGTTAATACTTACATAAAAAAAAAGAAAAACCTTGAACTTTCTATCAGATAAATCCACTCTACACACCTTTCTGCTGTAGGTGCTACAGATGTAGAGGAAACAGTGACCCCTGTGCTGACAGACTGGCAGGGGCTTACAGTATACCGGGCTAAGAACCTCGGCTTGCTTGGATTTTTTTGGGCAGTTAGGGTTGCTCGAATGGAATAATAGTATTCCGACCACCAAAAAATGAGCTTTGACCATACCAAGTCATAAATATGTAATACAGTGAGTAAATAAGTGCGAAGAATAGTGAACAGAATAGGGCAATTGAATATTAAGTAACATAATACAATTTTCTTTACAGTTCAGTGTTCAGTTTTATTTCTGCGATTGCGTATATCATCTAATGAATAGGCAAATATTTTATGAAAATTACATTTATTTAACGAGCTTAGCAATAAGCTCGTTCAGTTGTAAAGAATCCACGTAAGTAGTAAGATTCTTCAAATTAACGTGTTAACTGAAATACCTAACTTTAACTTTTCCTTGAACCCACTTAAGTAAGATTTCGAACGTGTTCATAAAAGGATTTTTCTTCTGTAGATATTGAACCGTCTACCTACTTTACTTCGAGTTCACTGTGCCCCTAGGATGATGGAGTCCGAAATGAAAACGAGACGACACGGAACAACGTTCTCAATTCTTCAGCACCTAAGTAAAAAAAATTAGAGGTATAAGAATATTATCTACATAATGTACTTACAGATGAGGCAAATTTTAATAAATGGTAAGGACTAGGGATGGAATGAAATCAAAATCACATGATTTATAAATCAAATCAGCGCACCTGTGAATGACTTACAAAACCTACTTAATTATTATTATTACGCTAGCGCAAGAGTCGTGAAAGGCCTAAATCTAAAAATGCTTTAAAAGTAGCAATAATTCCCATGTCTAGTAAGGACCCTATACAAAATATTACTGGCAGTTAGTATAGTTTACTTAATCTAACAGCTACTCGTATAACTAATACAAGTATTTTTCATCTTAATTTATAAAAGATAATGTTGTTTAAGTAGCCGCTAATTACTTCTTATTATATCTGGTTGAAAAACCAATTGCTATAAATCAATTGTTTTAACAGTAATTTTATAGTAATATCAAATGTGAAATCAATAATTTTTTTACTGTCTAGCATATTTACAGCCTAGCATATTTTTAGCATATTTACTTTCAAATCCGTATGTCCCACGAAATGAGGGAATATTTAGGAGACACTCGTTTCTGTAAATAAATTATTCTGCATCTGTTTTTGTTATATTTTTGGCCTTAGCATTACGAAGTCTCGTAATGGACGAGGCCTCTGGCGGGTAGCTCCTTGCTTGGCTCTTGTCTTTGTCACAACAATTGACACTGACAGTCTGACAAAATCACAGGCTAAATGAAACGCAGGAAACCCCGAATGTAAATCGTAAACACCACTATAATTACCACGCAATAGAGATGTGGGGAGTGGGTTCGGGCTCTGGTAACCTCACTCATTGAAAGGTAACTAAAGAACTACTTAAAACGGGTTTTCTATGAGGCCGTGGTATCTGGTGTCACTACGATTGTGTCGGCTCATATGTGCTGGCAAATATTCATTATTCTTTCCTCTTAATTATTACTCTTAACTAATTATAGTATCACAACACATCACATAAACAGCCTTTAATAGACCACTGCTCTCGCGGCTGGCCGTTATGGCGGTTGGGGGAGAAAACCCGTCCCGTTCACCCGCGGCCACATCAAGTTGATAAGAGACGCTGGTAAGTGCGCCTCCGCCTCCTGGTTCGTCACAACAGCGCTTAGTAGCGCTGTTGTGACGAACCAGGCGCACAGTAGCGCTCCAGACGCAAAGAACTGTTTTTTACCATTTTTGACATTTTTTTGGCGCTTTAGCTGACAATATTATGTTATAATTTTTATTGTAATCAATTCCTGATAATTAAATCTTTAATAAAAAAAATCTTTTGCCCCATAGGAATATTCGAGATTTTTAGGTTTTTTACGCTAATTCTACCTGTCTATCAATTGAAAAGTGAACGTCCTAATTGAGTCGAAATATGTTGTATTATTTTGTATTTGTATTTATTTTATTTCATAAACAATTTACATTATATTTGAAATTTTTCATAATATGTAAACAATAATAATAACTACAATAGCATTCAATGCTAAATCACAAGCGCTTGCAGACACTTCAATTTGCACAACACAATAATTCAAATTTAAAAATGACAAAAAAACACAGTACACACTTTAACAGTGTTGTCTATGTAATCCCTAAAATTATCATAAACATATGTGGTTTTATAATTTGTCTCCTTAATTTGCTTATAGCTAGGTAAATATTGAAATAGATATAAACGTAACGTGATGTTAGATACGTAACAGTAAAAGTTATACAGATTTAGGTCATTCAAGGAGACAATACAAGTTTATAATTAAATAAATTTTAAATCACATCAAAGACTAAAATACTAACTATGATACTAAAGACAATAAAATACGAACAAAATATTTAAAAAAACCACGACACTGTAATTATGCTGCTCAAGTGAAGTTAAGGATGTACTTAGTTGTGAAGAGTGCATCGTGCAGCCGGTACGTTGTTGTGAAAACACTCGTTTTCTTCCTAGTACCGTAGACTGCGCTCCCTAACCCACCCTAACGTTAACGACCTCACACCCCTCTAACAGATTCGATTAAATCTTATAGAAATGTCGTATACTACTTATAGACACGAAAACATAGAGGACCTACAATTTGAAATTTATCAAATGATACCTCTATATTTGTTGGTATCTAACAACATGGCTATGGTGTATTTATCTTTTTGAATTTATAATTTATTAATAGATGTTACGTTGACGTTTATATCTAAAAAATATTAATAGTTTTTTTAACTGAAAAATGAATTCCACTATCTGCCTCCTCGTTTTATCATCAGACCATGGTTTCGAAGAACAATCTCTGCTGGAGTCTTCAAATCGAATCATATGCGCCTAAACTTGTAATATGTAAACTTGTAATGTGTCCGTGTGGTGACGGAAGAAGACGGAGTGTAATCACCCGTCATCCCATGGGTTTCGTAAGAGCCGACTAAGGGGGCGAGAAGAAAAGAGGAGAAGGAAGAAACAAACCCTATACCAACCCGTCAAGTCACCGTGTTATAGTAGGCCAATACCTCCTTTCTAAGGAGAGGTTTAAGTCCCGCAGTGGACTGTTATAGCCTGTTGATGATGATGAAACTTGTAGTTGATCGTGAAGAGTTCCTCTATCTAAATACAGGCACCAGGATCGAATTAGCTTCAATATGCCAAATGATATCATTGTTAACCAACTTAAATAAAAATAGGTACATATAAAGTTTCGTGCAGATACATCAATCTGAAGTAGATTTAAAATGTCAATTTTCATATTTGTTACATACCTATTCATATTAGTTCATTAATTAGCTACAAGTCAAATTAATAAAAGCGTGTTAATAAGTAGTTTATCTTCTGCAAACGTCGAGATTAAGATTTATACACATGTTTTAATACATATTGTATTTAGTACTCTTAATTTACAAGATTTAATGACTCACTGACTGTAATGAGAAACTTCGTGAAATAAATTTTTGTTTATTAAGTGAAATAAATGGAAGTATTTATAACAAAGGATGGGTGTAATTAATAACAAAGAGACAAATTATTTTAGTTTTTTTTATAATCTGTTAA